TAAACCCATAAATTGTTCTAGATTTTAATTTATTATATTTTTATCTATTTTAAAATATATTGACTAATATTGAAATTACCTACTTTAAAAAGTATGAAATTTTGAGAAAATAACTTAAAATTGGGAAGTTAGACAGATTTAAAACTATTGAAATCACAATAAATATTAAATTTTGTGTTCATGAAATAATAGTGCTAGCTCCATATACACTATTTGCACTTTTGTAACTAATTGATAGTAATTATGTATTCGTCACCAATTCATAAAATTTTTAACTGAATTAATATAAAAAGAGCATAATTCCTTGTTCAGCAAGTTGCGAGTAATTAATATTTAAATTTTATACAAATTTAAACATTTTAATAACTTATCCTTCCTAAAATAACCTAGTAGAGATTAAATAACTTTACAACAGTTAATACATGATAATTACTCAACCTGATTACTGATAATTACTATTCAATAACCAATAATAAACGACAACCGTTCAACTTCCATCAAATTTTGGCATAAATTTAAGAAAGAAAACATTGTTAAAGAAAAAAACCCCAATTCAATCACAAATCTAGGCAAAATTATAAAATAAATAAAAAGAAAAAACAAATAGAAAACAAAAAATGCTACATTATATATAACGTGGCTATATGGAATATCCGGTCCATTATACAGTGGTGGCCAAAAGTGTGGACATTTTTTGAAAGTTTCATGTTTTTCAACTTTGTGTGCTTGTAGAATATATTAATTTTCACTTAAATACAAACGTTTATATATCAAATTAAAGGTAATTTAATGTAGAATTTAATAATAAATACAGTATTACAATATTGGTATTACAAAAAAAGTTATGCAACTAATAGTAAGATCTATCTTAGATTTGCATTTTTTTAAAGTGATACTTACACAATCATTACTTAGTAGCATAACCCTTATTTTTTAAGACAGCTTCACAGCATCTTTTCATTGAGTGAACGAGTGTTTGGAGCTCATCTTTCGTAATCACATGGTGCCAAGAATCAATTATAGCTTCAATAAGTTGTCTTTTAATGGATGGACGTTTTTTTTGTACAAGAATTTTCAAACATCGTCACAAATTTTCAATTGGATTGAGATGAGGGCTGTATGAAATGAACATAATTTTTTTTTGTAATACAGATATTTTAATTCTGTTTTTGCTATTGAATTTTACATTAAATTACCTTCAATTTGATATATAGACATTTGTATTTAAGTGAAAATTAATATATACTACAAGCACACAAAGTTGAAAAACATGAAACTTTCAAAAAATGTTCACACTTTTGGCCACCACTGTATATTACACAGTTTTTACGTGCCTATCTTATAATACCATTATATAAAATTTTGTGTTTTCCTGAACATCAAAGGATATTGCATCATGTTTTTGTAATCTCCCTAAACATATACAGTGAACTATGCATTGTTTATTTGACATTTATATGTATATATAGAAAGAGAGAATATCAAGTTTTGTGTACTAGCTTATTTTTCTGTTAAATAATATATATGTGTGTGTTGGTTTTCCAGAAAGATTTGCATTGCCATAATATTTTTATAAATTTATTTTGGTTTATAAAGGTTTTAAATATTATCTGATACTAATGTTTAAAATATCATTACTAAATCTTGTATATTAGGACTTATTTGTCCATGATAAAATTTATTTTGTGCCTTTGTTTTGTAAACTTGGTATTTAAAAAGACAATTTTTATTTATAGCTCTGAGAACAATACAGCAGGCTCTTTTGTTAACTAAACAAGTTACTAATCTATCTCGGACCACAGGTAATATTGAAATTCTTCAAATATATTTACTTCAAACGTGTTGAAAAATTTATAATTTTATTTTATTTTGATTAGATTCCCATCATCAGGCAAAGTCATCTGTTTCTCCTGCACAGTCCCAAAATCAAGTGAATCATCATTCTGTATCTGTTCATTCAAATAGTTTACCAAGTAGTGCCACTCTTCAAGTCAATTCCACAAGTGGTGCTCATTTTCCCGATAATAAAATAGACATCGACAGGGAAAGAACCACACCAGATTCTGATAGCAGTACTCACTCAGTGAGGTAAGCATTGTATATTTTTTTCAGATAGTTTTTATTCATTCTTTGACTTTTGAATAAGATTTCAACCTTATTGCATGGTCATCTCAATTATAATTATTACAGGCCTTCCCACTTTCTGGCTTTTGTGTCCATTCTCAGGACCCCTGTTGCAGAATTTTTTCGAGCTATCTGCAACAAAACTCTCTAACATTCATATTGTTCTGCAAGATACTTTTAATAACAAACGTATATGTTACTAATTTAGAATAAGAAAAGCACTGTATTTGCAAAAAAAAACTATATAATTTTTTTAAATTCAAGATGTAATAATTTTTTATTCTAATAAAATGGGTGATGTTCTCGCATTTTGTTAGGGGGGATGCACGAATTATTTTTTATTTGCATTTTATAAATAATCATCTCTATAAGAAAAGTAATTAAAAATCTGAAATCCGTAATTGCCAAAAAAAGATTGACAACGAAATGAGCTAATCGAACTCCTCAAATGTGTGTTTCGTTTCGAGATTAGGTTGTTGTAATAAATAATATTGTATAAAATATATCGGATTTAAAGACCTTGGAGATATCAAAAGCAATAACTGCCAAAAATGTGATAGAATTATTGCCTTATAAAGTAAACACTCAAATGCACGATCAGAATTTTACACTTTGTTTGAAATATATCTGGATATTTAAAATCCGCATGCATGACAATATTAATAAATGCGTAAATACAATCAAAACATTGCATCGTTTTATGATACTATCGGCGTAAATTGGGAGCTTCAAAAAGTTATTATCTAAATGCATGATTCAAATTTTAACTTTCCAAAGGAAAAATCATTCTGCAGGAACTCTGTAACGTTCTGTGACAATGTCACCGCGATTCTGCCACGGGGGCTCTCGACTAAAAAATATTAGCATGTATTGTGAATTCTTTATGTAAATGTGTCAGCCATTATACCATTTCTCTTAACTTCAATGATTTTCATTCATAGCAATATGGTATCTGTGTATGCAACAAAGGATATGCTGGTGAGGACTGCTCACTTAAACTCTCCTATCACACCTTAGCTTGGAAGACTCTTTTTAACCTTCAAAAAGCATCACCTAACAATATGTCAATACCTCCAAGTAGAGTTGGATCTTCTCTGCTGACTTACAATGTTGATCACAATGAGCACCTTCTTCTTTTTGGTGGTTATTCTTCGGCTGCTGGCTACTTAAACGACTTATTTTTGTACAACACTACCAGTCATCTTTGGATCAAAGTAAGTGTTAATCTAAAGATGCATTTGACAGATGTTGCTGTCAACTGTTATTTATTATGTCATTTCTATTGGTCAAACAAAATATTTCCTCAGCTGTTGTATATTTCTAAAACTTGTTTATAAATTTTTTTTTAAAAAAATATGCAGGATAAGTTAAAATGAATACTTCAATNAATTTATTAATAGTTCCAAGCTTTTTTGTTAGTTTGTTTATTTCTAACAATTAAGAAGTGCAAAATTTTGAATCCTTTGCAAATCAAGCTATTATGATAAAAGTAAGTATCACTATTTTCAATAAGTATATTACAATATTTCTGTATGAATGTATATCCTTCTATAAGAATACATGTATATAGTTGAAAAATCAATAGAAATCATTTACAACATTCATTTATAAAGGCAATTACGTGAAAATAATATATTATCAGCTATATGCCATAAATTAAAGAAAGCAGTAGGTTTTTGACAGTTTTTACCGGTAAAAACACGGTTTTTACCACTGTCATGTCAAAAACCCAACCCTGGTTCTCCGTAACAGAAATACATAACAAGATTATTTACTCTAGAGTAGAGTTTCTTAAACTTTAGGGGCAACCCACATTGCAGATCCCACGACCCCAATTAAGGTCACATTTACGTATTTGAGATCCAACTGTTATGGTACCTCATGTCCGTGGAGCCATCTTTCATTTCAACCATCTCTGATCTTTTACTTTTTTCTATTGCATATTTGTGCGAGATAACATTTTCGTCTTTTACCACCTTTAAATAAGTGCCAATCAAAGGAAGAGTTTTAACCACTTAGATTTTTATCCTAGGTGGTCATGATCCTCGTAAATTTTACTTTTAAGGGATACAATAAATTAACATTCATTTCTTTGAAAATTTTTTTCACTCTTATGAAATATTTCAAAAACATATGATACCCTTGGGTGGTTTATTTTAAGGTTAAAATTCATGTGATATTCTCATCTGATATTCTGGGTTTTGTTTTTGTTTAGACTTGGCAGCTCTCTGGGCATATGTTATTTATCAAAAATGGGTACATGGGACCAAGGTATATAACATACCAAGAATATAATATTATTTTTAATGCATTTTTCTTTGTAACATATTGCACTAGATGGTATTTTTTTACCAATTTATCAACTTTCTTTTTAAAGAATAATAAATCGTGTCTATCAATTATTTTGTTAGTTTTCCCATTTATATTAATATATATCATTGTTTTGTGCAAAATTAGTCTAGTATTTTTTGTAATTATGATTAAATATTTTATGATATTTTTATCACAATATAATGATCTTACATTAAACTATTTATGATTGGACAAATGTGGTTCACATATCAAGCATTCTCATTGTTAAAGTTCAATTTTCTGATTAAATCAGATACAGTGGTATTTCTTCTTTGGTTATTGAATTTATTTCTAAAATTTGTTTTAAAAGCTGAATATTATATGCCTATCAATAGCTGTAATGTATATAATAATAGAAAATTGAGAGGTGTCAACTATTATGATTTATCCATAATTATCACGATTTTGTTGTCAACTTGAAGTTGAGTAATAAAAATTATGGTTTTTAAAATGTCTCATAATAATTCATTAAAACTAAGTTTTTTTATTTGAATAACTACCTAGAGTTATGAAATATTGTTGTTGGCAGTGATTATTTTTAATAAAAGTAACACTTAAGTGTTATTTTTTTATTTAATTAGTAAATTCAAGTATAATCTTATAACTAATTTATATAAAATTAAGTAGTAAAAACACCTTGAAATAGCACTAATTTGAATTTTTTAACATTATATATATTATTGTACTTCTGATTGTAGGTGGTTTTTAAAACTGGCACCTCTGTTAATGTATCTCCTGAAATAGTTTGAAGTNTTTTTACCCAATTTTATTTTGTTTGCATGTATTTTTTTCCTTTTATGTTACAAAATTTCTTTTTTTAGGTATAATTCCTTATATTTTATCGCCTACTTTTTTGTTTTAGGAAGATGCGGCATCCAAATTTGGGATGGGTAATGCGGAGAAGCAATCTATTCTCAATAATCCTAGTGAAATTATGGTTATTATTTATTTTGATGCTACAACTGAAATAATTCTTCAAAACTATTTGTGTCTTATAATAATGAGTCACACTTTTTTTTAAAAGGTAATTTGCCTATATTCAGGGATGAGATTTTTGCGCTTTTTAGCGGATTTCCGCTTTTTTCACTTTTATCTCTTAAATTTCAGCTTTCTTATCAAAAATTCAGATTTTCTAAAAATTTCATTTCTTTTTATAAGTATTCCGCTTTTTCAGAAAATTCAAACTACATAGCTACCAATTCTTTCTCATTTTTACTTATTTTACCTATTTTCTCCCCTTTTACACGCAGCAGATAAGATTTTCCGAATTTTTTACCCGCCCTCCAGATAGATCCGATTTTTATAGTTCAAACACCGCTGCTTCTGACAAGCCTTTTAGAGGTCCCAAGCCTGGAATCTGCTAATATCTCGATTCTTATTCACGCGATTTGAATGTTGTACGTTGCGATTCTTATTTACGAGATTTAAATATCCGATATTGTGATTCGTATTTACGTCTTTTAAAAACCTATGTAGCGATTCGTATTCACGCAAGTTTAAAAATCCATGTGTTGATTTGCTCATGCGGTTTATAATATCAAACATTAATTTTCGTATTTATGCGTGATTATAAAATAAGGCATTGGGATTCGCATTCACACATTCTAAAAGTTATGCATCATAATTCTTATTTATGCAATCTAAAAATTACGCGTTTAAAAAATTCTATATCCCAGTTTGTATTTTCTCATTTTCAAAATCGTATATCTNTATTTTCTTTGATGCTACAACTGAAATAATTCTTCAAAACTATTTGTGTCTTATAATAATGAGTCAAACTTTTTTTTAAAAGGTAATTTGCCTATATTTGATGTTTACATTAAGAATTATCTTCTAAGTAAATTTTTCTTTTGTTTTTAAATATAATCAACTTGTTTCTTAAGGGTTTCAGTTCTAAGATTTTTTTAAATTTCTTTTTAAAATCTTATATTTTATTCTAGAATTATTATGTAAGATAACAATAAATTTAATTTTAGACATGAAAGTCCACCTAATAGCGTGAGCAGTTTGCAAAATTTAAACACAGCTGGGACGAGTTCATTAGCAACAGTGGCTTTGAGACCATCCGTACCTTCATTAACGCCATCATTAGCCAATTATTATAGAGAAGATTTAATATCTCATGTTGTGGGCTGGCAAGCAGATCATGCTGAAAGACAAGTAAAGTTATCTTTTTTTCCTTTTTTTTCTCCTTTTAATTGGATGCAAGAGGACTGAAAATAATAATTTGATAATAATATTATTCTAAAATATTTTTAATTGTGTCAATTTTATAACTATACATGTTACACTTTAAAAAGCATATTTTATGTTAGAATTCTTTTATGATTAATTATGGAAATAAATTCATATAAACACAACTCATGAGAAAAACTTAAATCCTGGCCCTAGTTGAATTCTTCCACCCCCACCTCCCACTTATTTAATAACATATGCAGTAGAAAATTTAAAAAATTGAATAGCAAAATGTTTATAGTGAAAATAATCATTAAAAAAAAATTCAATTAGATTTTCATTATACTTGTTACATTGTAAGTTCAATTCTAAATTCCTTGTCTTAGTTAAGTCACTTTAAAGATATTAAATATTTTTTCAAGTGTACAGACAAAAAGACAAAAAATCATTTAAAGATTCCATTTGTTGTTTTTGGGATTTTGTTTATCCTTTGTTATATATGGCTCCCTAACTTGAAGTGTTCTTAAATACAAATACCATTTGATCATTTCACCATTTGAATTCATTTTACTTAGAGCATTGAGTACATAATGTTTTAATAGTACAGCCATTTTTTGGTTTTCCTACCATTAAGTTCTAAATGCTTATGCCATTAACTTAACATTTTCCAAATGCATTATGCTTAAAATATTAGAAATTATTAATTTTTTTTTTTTAGTAATTCTAAATAAGTTTCTTAAAACTAATTTCAGTCATTAGATTAAATCATTGACATCATTATTATTTACTTAATTACTTAAATGTGGCTTAATTATAATTTTGATTTATTTTAATGAGATAAAGAAATCTGAGTATATGTTTGATAAAACACAATGCATGTAATATTTATTTGTTATTTTTTTACCCAATTTTATTTTGTTTGCATGTATTTTTTTCCTTTTATGTTACAAAATTTCTTTTTTTAGGTATAATTCCTTATATTTTATCGCCTACTTTTTTGTTTTAGGAAGATGCGGCATCCAAATTTGGGATGGGTAATGCGGAGAAGCAATCTATTCTCAATAATCCTAGTGAAATTATGGTTATTATTTATTTTATTCCATTCGTTCCATTTTCTTCAATAACTGGTTACATTTGTTTGGATTAAATCCTTATTCACTCTAAAATATCATTCATTGACTTTCAGACTTTTTATCATATTTTGACTTTCATTGAATTTTCATGTGTCAGTTTCTATTTTTAAAATCTACAAAGCTTTTGTTTTATGAAATATCTACAAAATCTCTGAATTTTAAATAAAACTTTGTTATAACCATTTTGTTTAAATATAATATTACTCAACTATTTATAATATTACAAACTTTATTAACTACAACTTGACAAAGTAATCTAACTGTTCTTTGTAATTTTTAAATTATTAGATTTAGTTAATATTCAAGTGACTGGTATACTTTTCTGTAAATAAGTATAATTTTATTTTCTTACTTCTACCAGCCTTATGCCTGGCTATTTATTCTTTTAAAGAAATTAATAAGCAAATTCAGATTTTAGTTTCTGAAGTACTTAAATACTCTGATTCTTTTCTTTCCAATGCTGATAAAAAAAATTCAGTGTAGTATAAGTTATTTGGATTTGTATCTTAATTCAAATGTATGCATTTTGAATTATTTTTTTCTTTGAAAAGCCTTGTTTTAATAGCTTAATCTAAGTAATAAAATTTTATGTAATATTTTTATCGAATCATTCAGTGTTTATTTTTATATCATCCAATTATTTACAGGCAAATCGTTATTGGGAAGAAGCCCATAATATAGGAAGTATAAATTGTACACAGGTGTCCGCTGAATTAAAAATGGCTCGAGCGCTTGTAAGACTAGCTGAAATTCAAGCTACACTACAAGAGCAGAGGTAAATTATAATGACTTAATGTTTGAATTATTTCTAGTTAAGATTGGTCCAAACTATATTTAAATGGATTTTTTGTGTGAGTATTCGAAATCCTTGATTGCAAAAATTTAAAATTTTAGAAAAATGTAATTTTTGCAAAAACAAGTGATTTTTAAATATTTTTAAGATTATTAAATATTGTTTATAAAAGGCGTATATTTTCTTAATGGTATTAAATCAACCTTTTAGTTCATGATAATATGTAAGTTAAAGTTTTTTTTGGGACAATTTCTATGTTGAAGAGTCAAGTTAGCTAGTTTCTTTTTGCTTATCTTAAAAAGTATTTTTGACTGTATAATTTTTATTAAAACTTTTATCTCTTAATTCCATTAAACTATTTAAACCTCTTTTTTTTTAAAGAAAAATTTAAAAACTTGTCTAGACTAATTGAAGGATAAAAATAGATGAAGAAAAAAAAATTTCTACTCATATAGTTAAATTACATCAGCTTTTATGTCAAAGTAATTTATTTTGTTCTTTCATACACCACAAATATTATTAGGTGCAGCTTTGCATTAATTATACATCTTAAGATGTTTAAAAAAAAAAAAAAATTTTTTTTTTGCCGATTATTTAAGATTTTATCAAATAATTAAAATATGAAGCTTGACTAAATGTCTTTCATTTTTTCCATCGATTTTTTTTATTTATTATTGTAAAAGGTATGAATCAAGCTAAAAAAAAATTTGCTAAACTAAATCTAGATTGCTGCTGCGACTATTTCGAAAAACTAAAGAAACCGATACCTAATAAATGCTTGAAGTAGTAGCTATATGAATTGAAGTTAAATGCTTTATTTTATTTACTTGAAGGTGCTTATTTTCGATTTTTGTTTTTTAAAAGCCCTTAAAGGTGCTTGTTTCATTGGGTGTTTTTAAAAAGTGGTTAATTTTCCCTTTTCTAAAATGGGAGTTTTTTTAAGAATGAGGATTTCGACACGAATTATGCAAAAAGCGCGATTTTCACAATTCATTTCAACTACAATCCATTTCGGCGTTCCGTCAATTCATAGCATATAAAAGCTCCAGTTATTTTATAAGGTTGATTAAATACTTGTAGGTTGGCCTGGGGGTATACTGGGCTGGCTTTGATGGAAAGGGAAGGATTCTTGCACTCTCTTGTGCAACAACTCTGTTGCATTTTGCAAGAGATTTTCGCTTTCAGGCTTCATGTTTTGCCTTTTGAATTCCAACCGAAAAATTTCTTGAATTTTCACTGATCACGGGGAACAACTAAATGCCAATTTTTTCCCCCTAATAGTAAAATACAATTTTCTTTTTCTTGTTAATTTCATGGGTGAAGTGCCATCGTCTTTAGCTAGTTAATTGTCTTCTATTTATAGATTAGCACTATAATCCTTGAACTTGACTTTGGGATCATTCATTATTAACTTATTTTCATGTGGGTTCCCAGAACAGTAAAGAACCACAAAGCTTCATTTCCACAAAATTTCCATCTCCCCTTTATTCATTTCATTTAAATAAACATAAGAACTAATTGAGGATTTTAATTGTAAGATTATTTTCCTGAGGGACTGTCCACTATTTGTGTAAAAAATTTTTAAACTTTTATTGTACTTATTTTTTTTTTACTTATTACTTTTTATTATTGTATTATTACTTTTAAAATTTTCAGTACTCTTAAGACATATATAATTATCGACGTATAATAATTTACTTTTGTCACAAATGTTTAGCTTCAATACTAATTGTATATACCTTTCAAAATTACTTAAAATTCTTTAATAATTTCATTAAAGAAATACAAAACCAAATGACAAATTTTAACAAAAATTAGAAGCCATTCACTAATTTACATTTGTAATATTAATGTATTAAAGTTATCTTAGTTTGCTTATTCTTTACATATCTTTAGAAATTCGGCATGATTAATAATACTAATCTTGTTGATGTTTTCTTATATATGCTTGTTTAAATAATGGTTAAATCAATTTTAATTTTGAAATTTTTTTACATAATTAATTAAAGTAATTATTAATTAAAAAATAGAATGAGCCACTTAATATTGAATATCTTTAAAATTGTGCATAAATTGTTTTTATGGTTACTAATATAATCAAGAAAAGAGTTCTTTGTCAGATAGTCATTTTATCCTGATCGTGTAAAAGTTTGAAAATTAATTTGCATTTTGTTAATATCATATATTGATATATATATATATTGTTAATATATTCAGCAATGGGCAGAATTTTTTTTTTTAGTTGCTTGCATCAAGTGCTTAAAAATATTTTTTGAGTGCTTAATTTTTGTTTAAAAATATGGCTTATGGCTATGCACCCCGTTAATTTTAAACATATAGTGATAGGAAAAAAACATAAATTTTCCATTATGTGAAGCATATTTTTTATTTTTAGGATATTATTTTTGAGACAGCAAACTAAAGAGCTAGAAGAATGGAGAAGTTTAAATAGTTTTATGGGAGATTCTTAGTAATAAAAGGTGAGTAATAGCCATACACTGGCAATTTATATATTTATCGTTGCTTCATTTTATTATGTTATTTTTTTTTAATCAGATATCATTTACAATCTTTCTTTCTTTTAAAATTATTACCATATTGATTATTATAACATTTACATTTATACCTTTTATAAGCCATAAAATATAAAATAATATGTATATAATATTGCATTTTTATCACTTATTATTATTATAAATTTTTTTTTTTTGTGATTGTTTATTAAGTGTGTGTGTGTGTTTTTTTCTTTCTTTCTTTCTTCATCATTTGAATTTTCAATTTTATATTAACATTTTTCTTTATTTTGCTTTAAAAAATATTTACTGGCTTGGATAGTGCTTACCTCTTAAAATATATTATTTGACAAAAGATATAAAATAATATATATGTTATATTATTACTTATTATTTAAAGGGAGACCAGCTTGGTCACCCTTCAAAATTATCTTGTTTAATATGTAAACATAAACGGTAATCAAGCCAAATTCACAGCACAACTGTATTTAAATATTCGAATTTTTAAATACTTTCTCCTACCCTAACATCTATTAATTAGTTTTAAACAAAATACAATGAATCCTCCAAAAAAGACCACCTCTATTTATGGCCAGTTTTGGGAGGCATGGAATATTTCCCATAGACCTTTAGGAGAGACCATTAAAAACCTCTCCTAGCGACTGGGAAAACACCTGCACCAAATGCAGATAAGGTCAAAACAGGTTGCACGGAAAAGTATCAAAACAGAAAATGTAACAAAATAAATAAGTAGATTAAACTGTATTCAAAATATTCATGTGAGGTTCTTATTGATGATACAACCTCATGTTTTAGTCAGTGTGCACTAAAGACGATGTTATCATTTACTTTTAGAGTTGAAAGTTAAATTAGAAAAAAACAAGTATTTCAAATAAACAAACCTCTTCTCACCTTTTAAAGATAACTAATTTATATGATATAAAATTAAATGCAAACTTAAACAAAAAACATAATTGTTTATTTATTTAAAATAGCTTTATCATTAATATTTGGTAAATTTGTTTTTACACATAATTATATCAGTTGGAATAATTTTTATAAAATGTTTATTTTTCATCCGTCTTTTCATGAAGCGAACGGAAGTGGCATTTCTACACCAAGCGCTGACTAAACTGAAATTAAAATCCTGTACCTTCAATTACAATTTTAAAGTCATTGAAGGTAACCTCTATCAACGACCATTTTACTATGGGTCGCTTCCAAGAGGTTTCACCGTAATCAAATATTTTCATAGCCTAGCTGTTGCCTGTGCAGAAGTACTTTGATTTCAATTTTAACTATTTTAGGAAATATCCGTCATATTGTTGTCATTAGAAATTTAATTTTAGTGATAATTTATAATCAGTCCAACAGCCATTAAATTAGACAGATCATAACAAGTATGTCTTACGATAGTCTGTAAGGATATTTTATCATAGTTGGCAGCTGAAGTTTTAAAATTATTTCCATCTCTATTATGAGATGAAATGCTACATTATGTACATCCTCACGCACCATTTGAGTCATAATTTGAGTATCATATAATATATCTATATGCTCTTGCTCGAAAAAGGCTAAATCTGGTATGAAGGCGAAATGATTTTTTTATGACAGTATGCAACACCATTTATGTTTAAAGTTTTATATAGCCATTTTAGTAAAGATCAAAATCTAAATAATTTGTAGCTAAGTTTTTATTTCTATAAAAATACATAATTATTTTAAATAAATATTTAACTCTTAACTAAACTCAGTGGGGCGACAGCCCACAGAGGCATTTATAGACTTTGATTGTGTTACTTGTAGATTTATGTATTTTAAAGAAGAAAAATTTACTTTATTTTATGCGTTCTTAATGTGTTTTTTTCTCCTTTCAGATTTGTATTCTGTTAAGCATGATCCTCATCAGACTGTTCCTGACAACTTTGTATAGCTTGTTGGGCATTGTACTTTGTGGCATTTAGAGTCAATAAATGCTGAGTCCCTGCTTTTGGGTCCAAATGCACTGTATTCAAAATGAAACTATCTAAACGCCATACTAAACAATATTCTTCCAAAAGTCAAGATTCACCCGCACAGTATTTTCCCCACGTTACTAATAATAGTACGATATTATAAACGGAAGAGTATGGAACGCATAAAAATAATTGTGTACATGAGGATAGCGAGAGCTTTTGAAAGTGGATTGTTACCTGTATATGAACACAAAATAATTGAACCTACTAATGCTTATTAAGTGAGAGCAAACTATAACTAAGGCATATCTATATTCAAAACTTGACATTCCGAGATATGTGCTTAATATACAAATATTGAAAACTAGTTTTCCAGTATCTGGTTAATTTCATGCCAATATATATATTGTTGGGAACTTCAAATGTTAATCACATCATGAGGAATATTTGCATATTCTCTATGCTTATGTCCAATGAGTTATATGACACCTTGAAGATTCTTAAAACTGATGCAAAATAAAAATTCTCAGTGTTTGAAGATGTATATTTTGGATAATTTGTAAATGTTTCCTATCACAATGTATTTTGTATGTGAAAAAAAAAACTTAGTTTAATTAGTAAATGAGAATTTCTGTTAAATATTGCAAATTAATTTTTATTTTTACATGACTCTTAAAACTCGAATGCCAAGTATTGTTTTACTATTTTTAGACTCAATAGTATTTTGTATTTTTTGTTTTATTAGAGTTATGTTACTTTTACGAAAGTACATTGGAAAATAAATTAGCATAATTCAACTAATTCTATTTCCCAATATGCTGTTGTTAACTTAACTGTAAATATGTAAAATAAATTGTTAGTTCATTAAAGAACTATCTTTTTTCTTTTTTTTTATATCGCTAAGTAAGCATTGATAAGAAATCTTAATATTTCTGCATTTTTTAATTCTTCTTCAATTGTGCTGTATGATGAATTAAATACAATATTTAATTATTATTTTATGCATGGAAGAGAATTTTTGTGTTCATTATAATTTGTTCAGTTTTGTAAAATGGAATAATACTTGGCATTTTTTAATGTTTCAAATAAACTCTTAATTTCCATTAAAATAAAATAAAAATATCAAGTTATGGATATAAATTAGAAATTTGCTTTATATTAAAACTCTTTCTATAATGTTATAACATAATTTTTGACTTACCTATTTCTGGGAAATTTATAACTCCTAAATACATTCAAAAGATTTGTAAATGTTTATTTGATCTTTAATTCCTACTTAGTAGGAGCCTACTGTGTATCATACTTCGCATTTTTATGAGTACTTGTTGATAAATCTGTAGTAGTTTTGTTTGACATCATTGTTCAGATGTAGAAATTTATTCACATTTTTTTTTCCTCCATGCATTCATGAAAATCATTGCATTCTTTTAAATTATTTTTATTCCTAAATAAAGTTGTTTTTAGTATTTATTGTGTTATCTATTGTTTGCTTTTCCATATGATTGGCCCCTGAATTTTAAAGAAATATAGTTACACGAATGCCAATTAGGACTACAGAAAAATCTCAACCTATTTCCTTGGAACACTTTTTATAGTTAATGTTACAATAACTTTTTCAAAGTAAAGCTTATATATTAATAAAAGGTTTTGTTAAAAAAATAAATTCATTTATTTACCATAATTCTTGAATAAACTAACATGTGCGTTAAAAATAAATCTAATCAACAAACTGACATTTGAAGTTTTTTTTTTTATAGGAAAATTTTTTAGAATGCAACACTTTTTTTACTATAAATTTTGTAGTATCTTTATAGACCAAAAGTTTTCCCAGGATTACTTGTATTTCTCCTGAACCTCATTCATGTATTCTGCCCTACTAATACTTACTACAACAGATTTTCAGTAATTGTCTTAAGAATTACAGAAGTTATTTTTAGTTTTTTGCCTCAAAAATTCCTCAATTTAATAAAAAGTTTTAGTATTCCATGTAGCTTTTAAATACAAGTGCTAACATATCAATGTCGGAAAACATACTTATAACATATTTTCAATCAAATTTGGTTTATCTGTTTGAATTATCTTTTGATTCTTTTATTGGCCCTCCTTTTTTCACATAAAATTTTATTGTGATATAATTAGTGGCAGTTGTCCCTTTATTTACCAAATTATTAAAAATATGCAAAACTTATTTGTCCCATCAAATAATGTCCATCACTCACACATAACATTTTAAGTAAACTTATAATAATTTGTTATATAATTAATTGAAAATGTTAATGAATAAATAAAATATATGAAAGACTTTGCAAAATTGATTGAGATAGAAAACTGAGAATTGATTAATCATAAATAAGGCATTCTCAAACGAAATACCAACAACTAAATAGTTCCTTATGTGGTATTGAACTACAATTAATTGGATGTTGACAACTAGTCGTGATAAACGAAAAGTCATATTACAAAGACAGCCAAGTTACAATGGGATGTTTTGTTGAAAAAATATGATTGTAAATATTAAATAAATTAATGTTCCCTTTAATACCATTAGACTTCGGAATGAACGAGTTCTTTTGAACCCAGGACTACCTAATTTCAGGATCCTTTTTCTTCAAAAGAGGGTCAACTTAAAGATACACATCAAAAGTAAATCCTTCATAATAATACTTAAAGAATTAAAACTAAAACATCATATTAGTTGTCTCAAAATCAGATCTTTTCCAAAAATACCATTTGGTGGAATAACTATAAGCTTTTTTGTAAATAAGGGTCATAATTGTAATTAGATCAGTTAACAATATATTTACCTAATAGAAGAATAAAACAAGCATTTGGCTAAAAAACTTCTCAGGTAGTAGAAAATGCTTAAAAAAAAACACTAAAAAAATTTTCAAAATAAATTGTTTTAAATATAAATTTAAAAAAATATTTAGCATAGCATCAATTCCAAAAGTAAAATAGAATATGTTATTGAATAACCTATTTGTGGAATTAAAAGATTGAAACTTATGAATTGGAAAACAAAAAAAAAAAAAAGAAGAATTTAAACACAGGTACTTGAAGTATAAACCTTCTAATTTTAGAAATCGCAAAATTCTGATTGAAATAAAATAAATTTGCTATGAAGTACGTTATTTTATACCTCTATTGGTATACACATTTATAATCCATAAATTGGTAGACAAAACATTTAGATATTCAAAACAATGTTTCACAATTCATTATTTGAATTATCAAGACTCGAGCATTTGTATCAATCGCCTATGTGGTTTAACGCAAACTTTATTACTTGGCTGTTTAAAGGTATTTTTTTTAAAATTTGATCTACAGGTCCAAAATATATGTGTGTGGTCCTGGCTAATGGAATCATATGTTTATTTATTATCATTTTTTCAAATTTTACAAGTTACTTTTTTTTGTCATGAAAAATTATGCATCCTAGGGAGAAGCTCCATTTTTCAGTATATTTGACTTGCTATAGCAGATAAGTGGAATTGAAGATACTATATTAAACAAACATATAAGAAGTTATTGCAATTTTTTTTTTTATAAAAGTGTTTTACATATTGATGCCTGAGAATGAGATATGAAAACTTATACTAAAAACCTTATTGATGATTTTTATATTATTTATTTTACTATGAATGTGAAATCTTAATAACATGTTCAATATAGGATAGCAACAATTTTGTTAATGATTTTTTATACTTAATTTTTGTTATACAGAAAAATATTTGCACACTAATTACTTCATTTAATTACTGTGATCCTTCATCCACAATTTTAAATTGTAATTTCCAATTATAAGTATGTATGTAATAATATGTATGTTAGTATTAGGCAATTTGTTTTATTTCCATTTATGAACAAAACTATCAGGAATAATGTTAATTAATTTTATCAAGCATTTTAGTAATAATATTAATTTTAGCAAGAAGTTAAAAAAAAACATACATCTCTTAGTTATTCAAAAGATTTTGTTTTTTAATTGCCACCTTTACACATACACACAAACCAAATACAATGGAGATTGATAATACCTAGTTTACATGAATAACTTGATGAACATAAAACTGTGTTTAAAAACTTTTAATGGAATGTAAAATTACCAAAGAATGTTTCTCAATTTCAATAAAACCATGCTTTGTAAGACAGAAAATCACACTTTTTAACATACATATACATGCATGGAATTCATATTTTCCCCGTACAAATGAGTTGGTTCAGCAACAATAATTCAATATATTAATGAAGTGAATTTTGGCAAAAATTAGCCCAAAATATTATAATATCACAATCATAGTGCTTAGTGATGCACTTAGAAGCACAATAAATAATAGTACACTGTCTAAAGTAAGAACTCTCCTAGCCCCATGGCGGTGACTATGGTTATGAGGTATAACTATTTCAAGTAGGGGTGTGAGGTCACTGATTAGGACAAGTTTTTGCTCGGTAATGTACAGAAAAGGCGAGAGAATAATAATCTTTTTCTCCGGTCTATTGTGTTGGTAGCCCCAGATTGAAGAGAAGCTACCCTCGAAATTCTTGTTTCCATAGCAGCAGATGGTCTCAGACTTTGTGACAGGGAGAGTTCTTACCGTAGACAAACTATAGTTTTATTTTATGAAAACATAGACTCAATTTGACTGTGTGCATCAAATGAAGTAATTAAAATAATAAATAAATAAAGCTTTCCAAGGATGAAAATGTTCTATACACTTTGGTCCATTTGACATAACTAGCAATGAATAGAAGTTACATAAATATGGTATGATGAAATCTAGATATGTCACACTTTAAATCATTTATTAATTTAAAATAATTCACCTAGATTTTATTTTGATGAGTTGAGGATTTCTCTTTGGCTTGTATCGTAACAACTTGGCATATTCTAGCAACAAGTTTTCCCAATAACAAAGAATGTCTTCCATTTTTAAATGATTCCATATGAAATTGAAACCCCTAAAACCACAAAGAACAAACAGTGAAATTACATAGAAGCATTAAATAAATTTTAAATAATAAAGCAAGCATAACTAAAAATCTTGAACTATGTTTTCAATCACTTACTAAACTTATTTTAAAAGAAAATTAAAAATTCTTATAAAAATCAACTAGCTCATAATTTTGTTGCAGTTTTTTAATCAATAAAATTTGATGCTCAAAATTGCCAGATTATTATGGATATTGCAGGCTTGGAAATGTATAAAAAAGGTAAGAAAAAGTGTGTTTGAGCAAAAGATTTACGATTTAAAAACTTATCAAGTAATAAACAAGAAAACATCAAACTTGTTGCACTTGAAAACTACACATGTACTTACACAATTTGATTATATATATGCAGACCAGTTTAGATTTATCAGGGAGTGTAGCCAGATTTTTCTACAAAAAATAAGCACCTTTTAAGTACTTTTTAAGCACTCAAAAAATATTTTTAATCACTTTCCAAAAAAAAAATTTCATAATTAGGATCTGTGCAGTAATAAAATTAATTTTTTCTATTGTTCAAAATTCTTAATTTATAAACATTAAATGAATGAAATTTAAAATCGTTTTCAAAAAAAAGTAATAAGAATTATTTTTTTCTATTGTTTGAAATTCTTAATTTACAATTAAATGAATGAAATTTAAAATCGTTTTCAAAAACTTTACATAGCTAGTTTCTGATAAATATTGCAGAGAAAATTGTGAAAATCGTACATTTCTTGCAATTTAAAACAGCAATCGCAAAAAGTCTCTTTTTAAAAGATAGAAAATCAAGCACTTTTTACAAACCCTGAATAAAAAAAACACCTTTAAGGGCTTTTTAAAAAAGTAAATCAAAATAAGCACCTTTAAGCACTTTTTAAAAATGCTATGCACCCTGTTTATATATATATATATATATATATATAATATAAAAATTTATAACAATGAATGTGTTATTTACTAACCTTTCTGCAATTGACTTCGCAATTCCGTCATTTTCAGTTGCAAAGTTTAATAAATCACTGAAAGTGTAGAGAAAAAACAGCAATATAAATACTAAAATATTCATTCTCAATTTTTATACATTTTTAACAGTTAAAATACTTTTTAACATACCTAACACTTGATAAGTCTGTTCCAAGAGGAATGTAATGAACCCATGGTTTCATTTCTTCATAGAAGAATTCCAACCATTCATCACCTACATGGAAGACTAGAGATCTACATAAAAACAAATGCTTGAGCCTGAAACTTGCTGCCACTCCTCTGAAGTTAAAAAGATATTTGTAAAGGCAATGATCTTCTAGAGAGATTTCAGAAGCTGGTGGTGCACCAAGTGTATCCTAGGTATAAAAAAAGGTAAATTTTGAGTAAATAACATTTAGAAGAATCATTTGACTTATTGTATTCTTTATGTCAAAAAGGGAAAGCTTTCACTCAGCTTCAGATTGATAAGTATCGGTTTTGACAAGGAAGTAAAAGTCAGCATGCACACAAAGTTGATCATATTGCCACAATCATTCTGTGAGTCATAAAATTGTGGAGCCTCAACCTTGATGACCCTCCTGACCTACAATAGGCTTTTGCACGAATGCTTTACTAAATAGGAAAATAATAGTTAAATGGCACTGTGAATATTCTGTGTTTACAGTCTGCATTTGAAAGAAATCAGGATTGCTAATTTTTGCTGACAAACTAATGGATTTCCAGTTATATTTATGTATAAATAAATAAATAATAATAATACCAGACAACACTGCAAGTTAAAAATTTATTTTTCTGTATGTTTTGTTGCCAAGCATGGGAGAAAGGGAGGTCAAATATATATATATATATATATATATATATATATNTTTTTGTTGAAATATATGAGCATAAAAACTTTTTATATAACGGGGGAGATCACGTAAATATATATATATAGATATTAAATATATACATTTTTTATTTTTTTCCCCCTTGACCTCCCTTTCTTCCATGCTTGGCAGCAAAAACACACAGAAAAATAAATTTTTAACCTGCAGTGTTGCCTGGTATTATTATTATTATTTATACATAAATCTAAAAAGTGCCCCAACATCATAATAGAATATATTAAGCACTGTTTCAGATACAATATTTTGCATTCTCTTTCTCGAACCACTACAGTACAATGTAGATAACACTAGAAAAAAAAAATTTGCATCAGATTTTTTAACAGATCTGAGATACTTTTATATTGCTGATTTTAAATCTGCAGTCAGCTTCTTGCTCCAAGCTGCAGTTTTTTTTTTAATTATACTTTTAGTCCATTTTTTGTTGAAATATATGAGCATAAAAACTTTTTATATAACGGGGGAGATCACGTAAATATATATATATAGATATTAAATATATACATTTTTTATTTTTTTCCCCCTTGACCTCCCTTTCTTCCATGCTTGGCAGCAAAAACACACAGAAAAATAAATTTTTAACCTGCAGTGTTGCCTGGTATTATTATTATTATTTATACATAAATCTAAAAAGTGCCCCAACATCATAATAGAATATATTAAGCACTGTTTCAGATACAATATTTTGCATTCTCTTTCTCGAACCACTACAGTACAATGTAGATAACACTAGAAAAAAAAAATTTGCATCAGATTTTTTAACAGATCTGAGATACTTTTATATTGCTGATTTTAAATCTGCAGTCAGCTTCTTGCTCCAAGCTGCAGTTTTTTTTTTAATTATACTTTTAGTCCATTTTTTGTTGAAATATATGAGCATAAAAACTTTTTATATAACGGGGGAGATCACGTAAATATATATATATAGATATTAAATATATACATTTTTTATTTTTTTCCCCCTTGACCTCCCTTTCTTCCATGCTTGGCAGCAAAAACACACAGAAAAATAAATTTTTAACCTGCAGTGTTGCCTGGTATTATTATTATTATTTATACATAAATCTAAAAAGTGCCCCAACATCATAATAGAATATATTAAGCACTGTTTCAGATACAATATTTTGCATTCTCTTTCTCGAACCACTACAGTACAATGTAGATAACACTAGAAAAAAAAAATTTGCATCAGATTTTTTAACAGATCTGAGATACTTTTATATTGCTGATTTTAAATCTGCAGTCAGCTTCTTGCTCCAAGCTGCAGTTTTTTTTTTAATTATACTTTTAGTCCATTTTTTGTTGAAATATATGAGCATAAAAACTTTTTATATAACGGGGGAGATCACGTAAATATATATATATAGATATTAAATATATACATTTTTTATTTTTTTCCCCCTTGACCTCCCTTTCTTCCATGCTTGGCAGCAAAAACACACAGAAAAATAAATTTTTAACCTGCAGTGTTGCCTGGTATTATTATTATTTATACATAAATCTAAAAAGTGCCCCAATATCATAATAGAATATATTAAGCACTGTTTCAGCTATAATATTTTGCATTCTCTTTCTCGAACCACTACAGTACAATATAGATAACACTAGAAAAAAAAATTTGCATGAGATTTTTTAACAGATCTGAGATACTTTTGTATTGCTGATTTTAAATCTGCAGTCAGCTTCTTGCTCCAAGCTGCAGTTTTTTTTTAATTACACTTTTAGTCCATTTTTTGTTGAAATATATGAGTATAAAAACTTTATATATAACGAGGGAGGTCACGTAAATATTGCAACAAGCTCCTTCCTAGGAGTTAGTGTGTATCATCAGTATTAAAATTGCATAGGAACCCATGCCCAAAATTGTCCCCATATGCTGCTGAGAGTGCTTCCCTATTATGAACTATTTCTTTATGTGCCTTTAAGCAGTTCATAATAGGGAAATGTCCCTAGTCATGCACAATATTTCTGGGCATGGATTTCTATTAAATTTTAATCTTGATGATATTCTGTAACTCCCCCAGAAGTTTGTCATAACATTAAACATGAACTCCTGCTATATGTAACGTAATTAAACTTGTACATTTTGACAAAAAAGAGACTAAAAATGTCATTAAAAAAAAATCTGTAGCATTAGGAGTAAAACTAATTTCAGATTAAAAAAAATGTGTGTGTCTGCGCTTTTATAACAGTCATATGCGAAAAAGTTAAGCCTTTTTTTTCTGCTACAGTAGACGCCGCTTAATGTGATCACATCGGGACGAACATGATTTGATAACAATAACCGATTGATTACAATAAACAAAAAAAAATTTAAGCTAAAAAATGATTTTTTTACATACGTATTAAAATAAAAATTCTTTTAAATTAGGAGTTGTTGCTGTAAGACTCTAAAGTATTTAATAGAAATTAATGTACACTAAAGAAAAAGAATTAGTATACTTACATATTTAATGATGAACTGCAGAAAACAATACAAAATACAAAAGGTTAATTATTAACTGAAAAAGAAATCATCAATTGTCGATTGTTTAGCATTCTTTCGAAGCAAGTCATTTACGAATCGCTCATAATCATAATGTTTATGAAAGTGTTCTGCGTTGGCTTTGTTTTGCACACCTAGCCGTAAGACTCGAAGTGCCTCCCTCATCTGAGCAGGCGTCGGAATTTTGTCCTCGATAGCACTTTCAGGTTCATCATCGGCACCAGAACCTTGTGACGAAGCTGGATCTTTGACACATACGGCTTCGCAAATGTCCTCATCAGTTAACGAAGTAGAAGTCTCAACCTTCTCGTCGATCTCCATCCATGCTTCAAAATCCTCAGCATTCATATCGGGCGGGGGATTGAAAACGTCTTCCATTTCTTTCATAACAGCAGCATTGTTGTCCTCTGGTTGACAAAATCCTCCATGACTAAAACAATTTCGAATTGTTTTTTCCGAGACATTATTCCATGACATTGTTAACAAATGTATGGCATCCAAAACATTTGTTTTTTTTGGCTAGAGCGTTCGCATTAAGATCTTCAGCGTCTTGGTCTTCCATATTTTCTAAGATCCTTGAACGCATTTCCTTTCTGTAATATGCCTTCAAGGTGCGGATAATTCCCTGGTCACACGGTTGAATTGAAGAAGTGGTGTTTGGTGGTAAGAACACGATATTTATCTTCCTTAATGAAACAGTTACATCATGCGCACTGCAGTTGTCTATGAGCAGGAGTATGTTCCGTTTTAGTCGCTTGTCCCATTTCAACAGCCATCCGTTAAAGATGGTGGTAGTCATCCACGCCGTTTTGTTGGCAAAATAATCGACGGGCAGATTTTTCACACCTTTGAAACAGCGGGGCTTCTTACTTTTTCCAATCACTAAAAGTTTTTCTTTAGTGCCGGTCATACTAGCGCAACATAGCACAGTTAGGCGTTCCTTGGAGGTTTCCTTCTGAAACATGAAGGTGTGTTCAGGCAACGCACGAAAATATAGGCCAGGTTCATCAGCGTTATATACATCTTCATGTGAATATATGGCAATAAGTTTAGGCCATTCTTCTTTAATCCACTGATCTGCGGCTACATTATCGGCATCTTTTTGTTCACCATGTGTCCTTCGGAAGAGTATGTTCTGCCTGTTTTTCCAGCTGTGGAACCATCCTTCTGTGGCTACGAAGTTTCCTTTACCCAATTTTGCAGCTAAATCTTCAGCTTTTTGGCGCAAAATTGGACAATTAACACGAGCGTCCCTCTCACGAACGTTTGTGAACCAGAGTTTTAATGCAGATTCAACCTCTTTGTCTTTTCCATCTCGATTTCTTTAACAATTCAGATTTTCGTTCAAAGTGCACTTTTTTTCGATATCTTCACGATTATTTAAAATTTTGCACAAAAGCGGCTGCGAAACTTTCAATTGAACAGCAGCATTCCTTTGGCTCATTTTTGGCAATTTATCGTAACGATTTAAAATGTCAACCTTTTCTTTCACAGTAAGATCTCTCCGTTTCCTTTCCATTATAAAAAACAAATCAGGTTACAAACCGTATGAACTATGGTAAAGTGAAAATTTATGCTGATCTTCTTTCGTATTCGTCTTTTAAACACTTAGGTATGGCAGTTCCTCTATCCCCCCCCCCAATTTTATTGTTTGACCAATAGTGACTCGGTAAGCGACCTGCCAATAGCGACCTACCAAGATCAAATGGCATACCCGAAACAATGTTCTCTTTTGAAGGTTACCCCTTAAACCCTTCCCATAGTGGCTGGGACACATCATCTGTCACATTGTTTAGTTCTTCTAAAAAGGGGCTCGTGACAAACATTGACTCGTTACTGGCAGGTCTTCTTTTCTCTTTATTTAGGATTTCCGGGAATTTGAAATCGCACAGTGCTACGAAATTTTACAATGCTTGACCGAAAATGGCAAAATACCCCCCTCGCTCATAATAACAGGTGTTTAAAAGATAATATACGAGCCCCGTTTGGACTTTTGGTAAGTTTCAGGAAACACTTCACAAAACACAAAAAAAAAGTTTTCCTTCTTGTTTTTATTGATTTCAGGAAAATAAAATTTACCTATAAACTGATAACAATAAACGAACATTTGATTACAATAAACGAGGATTTTTCAATGTATTTTGATCTAAGCGGACGGGACTAAGCGATTTTGATAACATTAAACGTTTGATAACATTAACCGTGATCACATTAAGCGGCGTCTACTGTATGTTCTTCACATGGTGCACACGTAATCAAATTTGCCAAAGAAATTAAAGACGAAAATAATTTGAGTAATAAAAAACTATAGTAATAAAAAATAATGAATTAAAATAGATTTTACTATAGCAACATTTAAATAAAATAATTCACATCTGCACTGTTTGGCTCTTATAAGCCAGTGTATATAATACAAAAAATTGTAGTTGGCAATGAGAAGTAAGGTTAATAATTTCAAGACAAACAGCTTGAATGATGATGATGTGGTCATCATTAAATACTGGTCACCTTTGCTTATAATACTACCTGGTACTACCTATCAATCTGAAACTAGGTGGACTTTAAAATGCCATTAAAGACAGAGCCCTGGTCATTTTACGATGAAACACTGCCATCATGGCCATAAAAATTATGTAATTATCTTATAACTAAATTACATGTAAATTTTAAAAAAAATCAATAATAAATACTGTCAATATTTTTAATGAATATTTAAAATAAAATAAATACTTCATCTGATTTCCAAGCTTGATTTTTTGTGTATTGAGCATCAATGAAATCTGGATTTTTACGAGACATGAGAATCAGTTTGTCTCTTTCTGCACTGGTACGAGATCCCCGAAAAAATGCAACAGTTTTTTTCTTGTGCCACGGCCATTTCTCGACTGTCCTAATTAATATAAATACTAATTTATATTAGAGTTTGCATGAAATGCAGCGTAAATTATTAAGTACTAAATTATGTTAAATACAATGCATACCAAACGACTAGTTTAGATGACTAACAAATAAAATAAGACCTTAGAAAAACAAGCAAATGAATAAATGAAGAAGAAAAATGTTTATATAAGTACAGAAACATAGTAAAAATTGCAAGATATATAATATTTTTTCTAATAAAATAAAGTATTATATTTAATAATTTAAAATATATAATATTTTTTTCTAATTGTTCATTTAATGACAGGCAAATAAAAATGAGACATTACAAAAATAAAAAAATACAAATATTTATATCAGAACTCCAATAGATTCAGAATTCATTTATATAATAAAGAAATTGTTGATCTTAAAATCATTTATCTTTTGACATGACACACAGTTAAAAATTTGGCTGGAAAAAAATGCCTAATATACAACTTAATATAGGTATATAGTATATTGAGACCTACTATTATCAAGGGTCTGTCCAGACATTTTGTAAAAGGTCCGTTTTTGTAAAATTGTGAAAAAAAATTACTCATAATTTGTGAATATAGAATAAACGTTAAGTCACATTCTTTCAACCAGGGTCCGCTTTTGTGAATTTGTGCAAATAGGGTCCGTTATTGCAACAAAAAAAAATTTCAAGGAGTTTTTAAATTGTAAAGACATACAAGATTATGCTCAACACTGTAAAATTATAATTAAAAGAATAATTATAGAAATTTAAAAAATAAACAGCAATTGCAGCTACTAAATTAGCGATGCAACATACAAATAATTGGTATTTACCCTATACTGCTGAACGCAGAATGTTCATTTCGGACGAATGAAGAAAGAAGCGTCTGCCGAAGACAAAATTTAGTTCGTTTACATCTGTCTTTCTCCCCCCTTCCTCCTGGGAAGGGTTTATTCGATTAACAAAACAATAATGAAGATAAACAAATTTGTGAAAGGTCCGATTAAAAGATAAATTATTTAGTGAAGGGTCCGTTTTTAAGTTAAAATATTTTGTGAAGGGTCCGATTTTACGAAAAGATATTTTGTGAAGGGTCCGTTAACGGACCCAAATTTCTTCTAAACAGACCCCTGATTATGTACTTAAGCACTATGAATGACATCATATTAAAGAAGTTTTTATGAGCTAAAAACTAGTTCTGTTTATTATTTAATTCAAAATATTCATTAAAAAGCTTCGAAAATTCAGAAAATTGTTAAAAACAAGACAAAAGTAAAAACCTGTTTATAGTTTCTCTTTGTAGATCCCATCTTCCAATTCCAGTAGGATAAAGACTAATGGCAGGTCCACCTTCCCAAAATGTCCATGCAGGATACATTATATCCCAATACTGATTAGTCTACAGCCAGAAATAATAGAATACAGTTGAATTTAAAAAATAGTTTAAAGAAATTATAAAACATCACTATCAAAAACAATTTTTTAACAAATGAAGGCAATGATTACCAAATTTCTCTTAATTCTCAAATGAGAATAATAAAAAAAAATTCCCCTCGAAAGAGGCATCTTTTGATTATAATTCTGCAGAAGAAAAAAATCTTTCCAAAATTTTTGCAGAAAAGAAAACCTAATTTTTTTTTTTACTTCCCAAAGGAAAAAATCTTTCTGCAAGAACTTCGTAACGTTCTGCGACAATGTTCCCATGATTCTGCCATGGGACATGTATTCATCAGCCAAGGAGGTTGATTAGTTTTTGATTGATTTTTGTTGATTAATTTTTGTGACTTTCAATTTAAAAAAATACATTTACAGATGTAAAATGGGGAAATAATAAACTTTCACACTATTTTAAACTTAAATTACACAATAAGTTACTAAATAATAATTTTATAATACATTTTAAACAATGCATGTTACTTACTCAAATTGCTGAATTATTTGTCAAAAGCAGTCCTATTGCTTGTGAGTTTATTTTTCCCTCCCCCCTATCGCTACAATCTTATAATATTTTCATACAGAATAAAAATTGAAAATTTCATGACTGAACTGCATTGATTCATATTAAACAAGAGGCTTCATGCGGCCTGGATAGCCCGCTTGGCAGTGCGCTGGACTCATGTTCATGAGAACGGGAGTTCGAATCCAGCTGGACGAAGACTCCCCGTGTGGTAAATGGTGACTGATGCACGTTAAATCTGTCGGGTCACCAAGTCTTCAATGTCTCCATAACAAATCAATACCTCTGGGGGTACTGAATTGAAGATTGATTGTTCTCTCGTTCAATTCAAACTTATGATCTGTGGACAAATGAATGAATGTATAAATCTGTTCGTCCTATAAATGGATGTGTCTTATTGGGTGTAGCAGAGGTCGAATTCTTGAAAACAAGATTATTCCATTCGATCCCCTTAGCCTTAATGGCCGACAACAACAAGAGGCTTCATGCAGCCTGCAGACTGGGTAGGCCAGATCTTGAAGTTGAATTACGTAAAATAGGTATGGTCTCAATTAATCAATCAGCATAAGTAGAGTTTACAATATTTCAAAATCAAAATAGAAAAATCGTTGAAAAGAACTTCCTATTGAAAGCAAAACAAATTAATAATTTTACTTAGTATAATATCAATTTAATAAGTGGTATTTTCTTTTCTTTTTACAAACCTTACTAAATGAGAATACTGGTAATGGTTTTCCATATCTGATGACTTGAGGATAATCTCTGGTATTGAGAATCAATTCCATGTCAGGAAGTTTAGTTAGCAACTTGAGAATGAAATGCTCAACACCACTGCATCTAATAAGTAATCAAAATAAGTTTGATAAAAATTTCTCTGCTAAACAAATAAAACAGAACTTTGCAATGATTGAGAAAAATTGATTCAATGAGATATTTTTATAAATAAATAACTATTAATAATTCAAATAAAATATTTTAAAGTAAAAAAATCTTTCTAATTTCTCGAAGATTTTCCTTAGCAAGTCACAAACGCATCAAACATTATCAAAATTATTATTATTACTGGTTAAAAATATGATTACCGTCACCTTTCCCAAGCGCTATTTAAATTTTTACATCCTTCTTTCTTTTGTTTGTACAGTTTTACTTTTTACAAACATTTTTTAAACACATGAATGATAAACAGCTTTTTTTTGGCTTTTTAGTGATATGGAATTCACCAGGTGAGACAACCGAGTGGTTGAGTTGTTTGGATTTTTTTTTAAAAATTGTGCTATCCAGCACTTTGCTGGCAGGAAAAACTAACTGCTTAGCAATTAGGAAGCCACAGTGAAGTAAATAAAAGTTAATTTTACGAAACTAAAAATGCAATCCTCAATAGCTTTTTTCAATAATTTTGTTACAAACAACAAAAGTATTTTTGTCTCTGCATGAATAATTTTTATACTTACCTAAATGGAAACATGCAGTCCTTATCACGATATAACGTATGGTTTATAATTTGATAATGAGTTCCTTTCTGTTTGCTTTCTAATATATCTTCTTCTGTGATGCCAGATAGATGCCATGGGCTTAAATCTTTGTTCATAGTGCTGTGAAAAAAAGTTATATTTATTTTTAATTTGAGACAAATCAAAAATGAATTTATTAACAATATGAAATAAAAATCCCTCTAAAGAAAGATTATTCAAGATGTCTCTAAAATACCGTTCAAATTATGATGACAAGTAAGCAGGTGGTAAAATAAGTCATTTTTAGACTAAGCCAGTTGTCTATGAAACAATACAAACTGTAACTTTCTAAGGATGGTTGACAAAATATTAACAAGTTTCTTAAACCCAGAACAGACTATAGAAAACTTTTGGAGTACCCATCCATTGATGTTATGCTTATGAGGTAAAGTGTGAGTAGGCTTCATATTTTTTAAAGTTTCGATCGTTACTGAGATGTTATAAGATTTTTTTTTATCCAATATCGCCATTCATAAGATTTTTCCAAGTTCCACAGACTTAATCAGATCAGGAGTTTTAAGTTGAACTAAAATTATCAGGAACAATGAAGAAATAAAATGACTGAATTGCTGTCTTTTGAGAAATAACATTAGAGGCTAATTATTTGCTTCTACATTGAACTGTCTCCTTATGTCCCCCTATTATCTTTTCTATTTGATATCATTTTAGTTATTAAAAAAGTGTAGTTATTACAAAAGTAGTTATTAAAAAAGTTAAATTAACGACAGCCAAAACTTCAGGTTTTAGGGTAAAAATTGATCAGTGATTAACTTCAAAGATTTATATAAAAAAAAAATAAAAAAAACACTTGGTCAAGCTTTATATAGTCATATAGGCTCATTGTCCATTAAGCAAGAAAAGAAAAAAAAACCTACACAGAAAATTCAAAGGAATTTTTAAAATTGATTTGAATTCGAATGGGGAGACACCAGACAAATAGGAACACCCCGGTCTTCAGGATAAACATAGGTCTAACAATCCTATCCTGTAAAAAATAGTTACGAAATCGCAAGAAGTAAATAAACCTGAGTTGACTTCTAGTAGATGATTTAAAAAAAGTTTCATGAATATGAGAGTTGAATTATGGAATATTCGATCTTTATACAGAAATGAGTGACAGTGCATGCTGGTTAAGCAAATGGGTAAGAGAGAAAATAATTTATAAGAAAAATCACACGATCGATTACAGTTGTGACAAAAGCAGGCACATATTTGGTACTGCTTTTATTTCGAGCAAGCTAATAAGACCATTATTAATTGATTTTGTGACAAAATCACTTAGGCTCGGTAAAATAAGGATAAAATGAGCCTTTCTTAATTACAGTTTTATTAACATCCATACTTCAAATGAAGATAAAAACAATGTGGAAAGAGCTTCTTTCTTTACATAATTTTTTTTATTTCTTTACATATATATTTTTTTTATCAAGTCCAAAAAAATATGTAAAAACTACACATGGGTATGCAAATGCAAAAATTTGTAAAGAAGATAAATTTAGATTAGTAATTGGAAAAAGTTGTCTTCATGATGGAGATTATCAAAAAGAATTTCAATAGGGAAAGTTCAGCACAGAGCAGATATTCAACATCCGAAAGAATATGGAGAAATCAAAAGACTTCGTTATTGATACTACACTGATCTTAAAGAGGTACACTACCTCTTTATTGACTTTAAAACTGTTTATTATAGTACCAACAGAAAGGCTCTTATCCCAGCCATGAGAGAGCTTAAAACTCCCAGACAAATTATAAAGGTTGATAAGCTGACATTAAAGAAATTAAAATCAAAATGAATACAGAAAAATTTATCATATACTGTAGTAATAAGAAACGGCAGGATCATGCACTAGCCTGTCTTCTCTTTAATCTAGCATTAAAAAAAGTGGTAAGATATACAAACATCAATATCAGAGTAAACATCTTTAATAAATTAGTACAATTATTCACTGTCCAAACATCCACTGCACTAAGACAAGCTTTCTTATCATCACAGAAAAAGGCTCTAACAAAGGGCCTAATAATAAATGAGAATAAGACCAAATTCATACCTTGCATAAAATCTTGTTATAACAATACCCACTTTAAAATTGGAGACTATAACATTGAGGCTGTTGATAGCCTCCCTTATCTAGGCTATGGTATTAACAACAAAAATGATACTACAACTAAAATTCAAAAGATAATTACTACACCAACAGATGTTTTAATGGAATACAAAAGTATATAAGACTGAATGTAATAAAAAGAAAAACAATGTTATATTATATAAGTGTTTCATAAGATCTCTATTTTAACTGATACTTGCGAACTTGGTCTAGTTCTCAGTCTGATGTCAGAACATGATCCGTAAGTTCAAAATGAAGATCTTAAGAGCTATTTTTTAGAGAAACTAAAAATTTTAAAAAGAAAATGGCATGTGGCTATGAAGATCAAATATTTAAATTATATTGCTCAGATTCACCTTGTCATCTAAATAAAGAAACAAACCATTCCAGAAATTTACTCAGTTAGCTACAACAGCAAGCAAAAATAAGCTCTGTTTAGATATAAGGAGTATAATGAACCTGATATTGTTTATTTTATCAAGCAACTAATAAAATGGGCAGGCCCCGTTGTTAAAATGAAAGAAGTGAAAAGATCACAAGAAAAGTTCTCACTGCCCAACTAGTTGGCACATGGAGAATAGGCAGACTAAATCTAAGATAGATTAATGGCTTTGAAAAAACCTCTGAGTCTGGAAAACATAAGCGAGAAGAAGGTTGGTCTGAAAAAGGCGTCTAGAGAACACCAACGCACGCCCTGAGCTATCAAACTATTGAGAAGGAAAAGAAATTTTAATGAACTAGCCAAAGTTTCTATCAAAAAAACACAAATTGAACAAAAAGTAGCAGTTATAATAGTGTTTGCTTTAGAGTTACGACAAATATAAATGATTCTAAAAGAATCACTCCTTTTTGCCATATTGTCAAATTAAAAATCTGTCATTTTTTTTCTTTTGCTACATTCATTATTAAAATAGCAGTTTATAGCAAAAGAAATATGATGCAATAAGTAAACAAATGACACAATAAATAAAACAGTAAGACCTACAAAAACAATACATTTTTCTAAGAGATCAGTATTTTTTTTAACAAAAAAGAGAAAGAAAAAAAGAGACTTTACTGTAAGTAAAAAAATTTTTTTTAAAATTAATATTTAAGATTTTTCAGAGACAACATCATGAAATTTGGGAACCACTTTTGGCCTACGACCACAAGTGGTGCACCTCAGGTCTTATATGTGGGCACAACTTAATCTTTATATCCCACATAAATATAAGATGATAAAGAAACAGAATTTCCTTTTAAAGAAATTAGATTTTTATTCTGTAAATTGCTTGACAGATTTCAAGTAGATATTTCATTTTTAATATTGTTTTAAAAACACAACTGTAGGAGAATAATGCACCTTTCAGAGAAATGATATTAGTAGTACTTTATTTATACCACACTAAAGCTGCACAATGAGGTATTGGTCTCATGAGAAACATCCCTCATGATGACTCAAAGAAAATTTCGATTCTCTGCCAGAGGGGATGGCACTATGGCTTTGGTAGCCGACGACTACCTGCGTGCAAAGTTAAGTACTTTATGATATAACAGTTAAACAAGGACTGATATCGCACACCTTCAGACATACAGTCATCAAAGTGGTCAATCACCTGCTCAATGACTGCTGCCAGTGATGCTGGAAACTTACTGAAAAGCTTGATTTCAGAATCAGTCCTATATGGGACCTCATAAAAGTTCTATAATAGATGTTGGTATTGTTCTGTTAAATAGTATCTAAAAACATTGCAAAGTAGTGATGAGGAAATTCAGGACCACAAAAGCAAGCCATGATCTCTACAGTAAGTATAGGAAGCAATGGCACTAAACCTTAAAAAAATCAGTGTTGGGTATACTGAGCGAACATATACTGGGTAGTGGCATTTAACCTTAATATACCGGGCAATGTAGGGTAAACTGGACAATGACACTCACATCCTTTGATTAATCAGATTATTAAAAGCAATACACAGCGATTATTTTAATTGGTGTTTGTTAGGTGAAAAAATTTAACCATCACCAATCGTAAGGAAAAATATTTCATCAGCAAAGATAAGCAGATCTCAAATCTTTCTGCAAATGCTTACTTTCAATTACCCTTAACTGAACAAAACTATATGCGAAACATATAATGCAAAAAACTTGTTGAAAATTAAATATACATCTATATATATATCCTAGTGCTTTGGATATTTCCCTATTGTGATCTGTTGCAACAACTGCAACTGCCTAGGAGAAAAATCCATTTTTAACTTTCAAATTTAAAAAAAAAAAAAAAAANAAAAAAAAAAAAAAAAAAAAAAAAAAAAAAAAAAAAAAAAAAAAAAAAAAAAAACGTGTGGAGGTTTGCACGGGGGCGAATTCGAGTTATACTCTTTGAGTTGACCCTCCTTCTGAGATATTGTTTCCAGTTTTTCGCAGGCAGGTGCCTGTAAGTTGAGAAGACTCGAAGTTTATTCTGCCACAGATCTCGATACAAAAATATTCCCTAGTAGTTTCTCATTATTAGTACAAAAAAACATTATTCTGAAAATATTACTAACTTCTGATAACAGGAGCAATTGTTAAAACTGCAGTCTTCATATCGTGAATTTGCATCATCAATGAGGCGCATTATTCTATTCCATTTTTCAGAATAAACTGCAATATATGTATACATATTTGTTAATTCAATATATTAAAAATAATGCATAACAAAAAGAGTGGGAAGTAAATGATACCAACTAGACTTATGCGGAGAATCATCCATTGATTCATCACATCCATTTCCTAATGAGCCACAAACATTACTATTACAATTAATTAGTTTTAAACAAAACAAACAAAAAATTATGATATAATTCAAGCACAAAATATCCATTTTGACAGTTAAAATACGGAATTTAAAAGAGAAGTATGAAGAAATGACACAAAGAGAAGGGAAAAAAACGGAGTTGGTGTGAAAATTTGATAGATTGATTGTTTACTAGTAGATATGAATGTATACTGGCATATATTCACTCATGAACCATATAATAACTGAGGAGAATAAGGGAATATTCTCACTGCATGTAATTTGCATTGGCGATCGCACACGAATAGCTTCTGAAGGATCAATCTCACTGGATGAGAGTGGCAGTTGCATGCAATCGAGGTCTGATTGACATTTTCCACCAATCATATTCTCGCTCGCTGAGATAAATATCAAAGTTCTCACTCGCACTTAAAAATTAATAAAGCAGAAATTAATATGATGTAAATAAAATACGGAAACGTGTTGAAACAAAATTGAGAGTTGAACCCTTTAAGTGAGGGCTAAAATCTTTTCCAACTCGTCTCTCATAATAATTGAATAATCAGAGAATTAAGCGCCACATCTCTTTTAAGTATTGGCGATCGAAATGGGCTGCAGGTGGCGTAGAGCAGAACTCTTTCCCTATGGCAACACTTCACATGATTTCCCCATTAGCGTGTGGAAAGTCATAGAGGAAGGAAGTACGCTAGTTTCTCTCTTGATTTTCATGTAGATTAAAGTCTTTTAGCTTGAAAAACTATATGGAACTGAAAACTACATTAAACATAGTTCTAAAGAAAAGTATCACGGAAATTTTAGAAAATATTTTTATTAAGTAAAAAGGAAAGATATTAAGAAAAGGGAAAATATCGTAGTACATTCCTATATAACTGAAAAGAGGAGGAGAGGGAAGGGAGAAGGGCTAAAGGCATGAAACCGGTCTCTTCCCAGATGGCGTATTCGAGTGTTGCGATCGCGAATTGAATAGGTACTTTATTTATATCGCACTAGAGCTGCACAATGGGCTTTTGGCGACTGTGTGGGAAACATCCTTGAGGATGATCCGAGGACATGCCATCACAAATTTGATCCTCTGTAGAGAGGATGGCTCCCTTGCTTTGGTAGCTCGACGACCTGAGTGCGAAGTCGAGCACTTTACGGTAGAGCAATTTAACGAGGACCGATACCGTACTCCCTTGGTCCCTACGCAGGCTGATCAAAGTGGTCATCTACCCGTTTACTGACCGCAGCCAGTAATGTTTGACTTCGGTGTTCTACTGGGAACCGTATCTTTCGATCAGTCCACTACGGGACAAGTATTGAAAGACTAGGGCAAAAAAGAAAATTATTTTAAAAATATTTTACATATTTTACAAATATATTATGGAATATGTATATGTTTTTGGGAAAATTGACGCTGACCCTGTCACTTGATATTAATATCGAAATTCTGTCTCATATCGAAAAAATTTTTGAAAAAATTTATAAAGTCTCCCCGAGTTCAACCTTTAAATGCAGCAACTAATAATATTATGTAAATAAAACAAGGGATCGCGTTATTGTGAAAAACAGAGTTGAACCCTTTAAGTGATGGCTACGAAGCCTTATTCAACCTTCTCAAATCATAATTGCTTAATCAGCTATTTAAACGCCTCCTATGCTTTAAAAGACTAAAACAAGAGAAAATTTTTAAAAAAATATTTTACAATTATATTACAGCATTTGTATATATTGTTGAAAAATTTATCGCCCACTCTTTCACTTAATATTAATATCAACGTTTTTTCTCTTACCAAAAAATAAAAATACAAATTAATAAAGTGTTCCTCAAATGAACCCCCAAAATGCAGCAATTAATAACATTATGTAAATAAATTGTGGGTATGCGTTATAATGAAATTGAGAGTTGAATCCTTTAAATGATGGCAACGAAGCCTTTCAAATTCCGTCTCGCATCATAGTTGCATTATAATTGATTACTGCGAAACCTTTGCTTTAGGTATAGAAAGACTTATACAAAGGAAAAAGTTTAAAAAAATATTTTGCAAATATATTATGGCATGTGTATAAATTTTTAAAAACTTGACGCCGTTACTGTCACTTGATATTAATATCAAAGTTATCTCTCATATCAAAAAAATTAACTCATTATATTTATACTAGGAGGCTTTGCCCCCTACTCGCTGGCGCTCGCCAACCCCCAGAACTGCTTTCGCAGTTCATTTCCAATGCTCGCTTTGCTCGCTCATTGGATACGTTCTTAACGTCTAGCTTTTGTATACTTTTTTGAATACTGATGTTCCGAAAAATTTTCACGGTAGAAAATTCTAAACCTGTACATTTCATTATTAATTTGAAGTTGCAAACAGTTCACATATTTTGCTTAATCACACTATTCTAAATTTCAGTTGTTGAGAAAAGTAACTGTTGTAAGTTTTGTTTTAAAGTCTTTCCCACCAGAGGGCTAAAGCCATGTGTTGTAAAACAATATGAAATAGTAGTCTGCCACTGAACGCCGGATGTAAAGCATCGGCTTTGATGAAGATAATTTTGTATTTTTAATTCTCTGAAGGGCGCCA